CGCCGCTGTGTCCGCGCCGCCCCGGCCGGGCGGGGATCGAGGACGGCGGCGGGTCGGGGGCGGCGGCCCCGCGAGTTGTGGGCGCCGAGACGACTTTGCGCCCCGCGAGTTGTGGGATCCGCGGCCGGCCGGCCGAAGTCAGCCAGATCCGGCGAGGTCGAGTGAGGCGGCGGGGCGGGGGCGCTGCCCTCCTTCCCCACGGGTGGGCGTCCTCGGGGACGTGGTGCTGCTGTTGGGGCAGAAGCGCGCGCCGCAACCCTCGGCCGTGGCCGGGTGCGCTGCTCGGGAATGGAGCTGGGGCTGCGGGCCGTCTTCCCGCGTCGTGTCCGCACCGCACGCCGCGGCGGGGCCTTGGGCAGCCTCAGCGCCCCGAGACCCGGGCGCTCGGAGCGCCCCTTGGGGCGGCCCCGTGGTCTGCCGCGAGTCCCCGCGGTTGGGACTGGGGCCAATGGCGGGTTTGTGCGGTCCGAATTTTGCTGCAGAGGCGAGCAAGAGCGGGTACCCCTCTCCCCAGCGTTAAACTTGGTTTTTGCCTGCAGAAGTTACGGGGTGGGGACGCGTCGGTGTATCAACTAACGCCTGGAACAAGTGAGGGATTTGCAGACTCCTTTTTGCACCCCTGGTGAAGACGAGAACGGCGTAGTTTTTTTCTTCGAAGTTTGGAAGCCTCCCTCCCTTTTCCTTTGAGGTGGAGATTTTTTCTGGGTTCCTGGTGTACCCCGAGAGAGGAATCCTGGAATCTGTGCATTGTTGCTTGGTGATGTTTTGGGGGTCTCATTTTTTAGGGGCTGTCAGCAGGGTTTAGGAAGCGCGTGAGCCCCCAGCCAGGACCACCCTCAGGGTTTAGAGACCTTTCCTACCTGGGGGGTGGGAGGATGGTGGTGTCCATTTTACCCTGCGGCAGCCCAGCCTCGTTTGCAAATAAAGGTTCGCTTTTGCTCTCCTGTGTCAGGCCTGGATGTGTGCTGGTGGCCAGAGATCAGGGGAGATAAGGCTCTGGAGAGGGGCATTTCTTTGTGACCTTTCTGGTAGCCTGCTTTCCCCAGCGACATCTAAGCCGTCTTTTAGATGGGCCCTGATCTTGCGTTTTCAGGTGGAAGGGAAGTGAAAAGCTTCCACAGGGTGGACAGTGCGAGCGCACACTAGTTTGGTTTTTGTTGTGTTTTTAGAAAGTAGAGTAATTACTTTCCTTGACAGTACCCGCTTGGAAAGTGAGGTTAGAGTAGAGGACGGATTTGTAAGCACTCCACCCTCCTGTGGACTTATTCTGAGGCGTCCACAGAAAGTGAAAGTGGGGGAGTGTGGGAAGGGAAAGCCAGGCCTGCTGCTGCAGCAGCAGCCGCCAGCCTGAGGGAGTGCCTGGCTGGCCCGGAGCCTCGCTGGGGCCCTGGCCTCCTGGATTGCCTTGGCCACTTCCTGGTTTACGGTGGCACAGCCTTCCCTGGGGGGTAGGAAGCACAGGGAGCCAGGTGGGGCCAGAGAAACCATGTCAGGTCCAGCTGCCCTCTGCCCTTGTGGTGGACCCCGCTCCTGGTGGGCAGCAGCCATGTTCGTCCACGTTCACCAGGCCCCAGGGTCTGCCCAGAGCTGCTGCTACCCCTCCAGGCCTCTGGGTGCGGAAGCAGTTGGCTCAGTAGTGGGGTCCTTGGGTGTCCCCCTACTGGGGGCTGGTCATCAAGGCCTGGAACGTCTCTTGTACACCCCCCAAGCTAGGAGCTAATTCAGTCTGTTCTTGCTTGAAACAGTGACAGTGAAGAGCCGGTAACTTTTCTGTTTTTGTGAGTCTTGAAGTTACAGGGTCCTGACCCCTGGGATTGGCCTGGGGCTCTCCCACCCGCTGAGGTTCCACCCTTTAGCTTGTGCAGAGAGGGTGGGGCTGAGCACTGAGGCCACAGGTTCGCCAGTGTGCTGTGTTGGTCGTGGCTACGGAGCCCAAGGCTGGGGCCTGTGGCTAGAAGGTGGTGCTTTCCCAGCAAGGATCCTTGGTGTGGTGACAGCTGGGGGGGCCTAGCCCCAGGGCGCCCTGTGGATCAGCTGCCAGAGGACTCCTCCAAGGGGCTGCGGCACACCCTGTGCCCTTAAGTGGGTGGCTCCACCTGGCCCATCCAGGCCCGTGCTTATGCTGGAGCCTGTATGTGTGTGTGCGTGTGCGCACCGTGTGCATGCTGTGTGGCTGGAGCTCTTGGCTCCATTATTCTGGATCTGTTGCCCGCCTATACCTGCAGCAAGGCCTTGATAACCTGGAGTCAAAAATGCACTTTGAGAAAGCCCCTCTGGTCCCAGGCCCCAGCCTCCTGCCAAGTCCTTCAGCAGCCGGCCAGGTGTGAGGTGTGGACACTGCTTGGCAGTTGTCACGTGGTAGGGTCACATGCAGGTGTTCTGGTCAGGTGGGCTCCAGCGTGGCCAAGTAAGCAGTGTCTTGGCATTTCTGAAAGTGACATCCAGATGCCTGTGTGATCTGTAGACCCTGCCTGGTATGACCTGGAATCTGGGGTAGGGGATATCTGTGTCACCACCAAAGTACTGTGAGGAGTGAGGACTTGGGGTCTGTCCTTGGGGGCTGTGGATCTTGGGGTGACTGCATTCTGCCTGAGGGGCCAACTTGTGCCATCGGCGCAGGACACTTGCAAGCTGTGCAGGGGGTGCCTGCCTGGGCAGTACAGCCTGACAGTCTGGCCCCCGATGCCTGGTGCTGCTTTGCCCCACGCAGAGCCCAGGGAGCTGACCAGGCTCTCACTGGTGCCCACCGTGTTAGGTGTGGGCACTGGGGCTTTGCAGGCCATGCGCTGTGTTCCTAGGTCTTCCTTCTGTGCTAGCGTGGGCTGGCTGGGCCCTGGTCCTGCCTCAGGGCGACAGTGAGCACAGGGTGGCCAGCCCGCCTTTGGCAGCTGGCCAGGGTGAGGTGGTAGCCTTAGGCTCCTGGCCCACCTGTTGGATGGGGTGATGGTGCTGGCTGCTTCTGAGGGACTGGCAGGGAGGAGAAAGCTGGCCCTGGTGAGCACAGCCGAGCCGTGGCGGCTTCATCCAGGTCATAGCCGATGCGTCTGGATCACGGGGACAGGCGTGTTCACTGTGGTGGCGGTGGCACGGCAATCCCAGCACCCAGGGCGGGACTGGGATGCTCCCCAGCATTGGCTGAGCCAGCTGGAAAGCGGCCTTGACTTGGGTTCTTGTCAGCTGCCCCTGGGAAGCATGGTCTTGTGTCCAGCGGCCCAGAGTGCCAGGTAGACCCCACTATCCCACTGTGTTCCAGGAAGTGTCACCTGCGCCCGCAGCTGCTGGGCCTCCTGGGACAGTCAGCTGCTACCAACCCAGGGACAGCAGCCTGTTTCCTCTCCCTCTCCCTCTCCCTGTTCCCCTGAGGCAGCTGTGGAAGGCAGCACGGTGGCTCTGGCCTCAGGAGCACCCGTGAGGTGCTCTTGGCCCCTGAGCTCCAGAGCCAAATGAAGCCTTGGTTGGGAGTGAGGGTCTTTCCCTCGAGTGTGTGGTGTCTCACATCCCTCAGAAACCCGAACTCGGGCATGAAATGAGCTTTTGGAGATTGACTCCTGCGTTTTCACAGTGAGCTCCATCTTGTTCATTTTGAGGCACAGGCTCACCGAGTTGCCCCAGTGGGACTTGAACCG